TTTCTCCATCTTTCTTTATAAACCCCCTTTGTATACAGAAAGGCCACAATGAAGTCCACCTGGAGCCTTGTCTTCTCCAGGCTGAACACCACCAACTCTTCTAACTACTTCTGTTCACTTCATCTGTTTTTACTTGTTTTGAATAATTATAGTCCCTACGAAGAATAGAAGCTGTTACTTTTTCTGTGCAATTCCTGAGATGATACAGTATATCTAAACTAAATTTGTGTAAATTTATTTTAAACTGATCATCTTTACATGTCTAAGGAGTTATTAAAATGCTTTTAAAGTTAAAATCTGCTGAGTAGATTGTGCATTTTGACAAGGTTTATTTCTTAGGTATTTTTGTCTGCCTGACTTTTTTTCTGTAACATGGCCAAATCTCTTCAAGCAATTGCTTTAGAATTGTATAAGAATATGGCTAACACTGGAGTATTAAATTTGTTGTACGAGACATGTTTTTCTGGCAGACATCTGTATGTAGGCTTGTGATACTTGGATTGATTAATGTTCATACCACTTGTATTACATAAATGTAGTGATTATATCCATAAATATTTGCAATAATTTTTGCTTTGAGTGATTGTTTCCAGTCTGTATGTAAATTACTTTAAATGATGTGATTCCAGGTGATCTTTTTTTGTGAGCTTAAACATGTAAACTGTGACCACTCATCATGTTGCTGTGGTGATTAGCGAATGCTCTAGTATGTATGTTCATCTGTAGGCTAGCTTTGGAGTTCTCCAACTTCAATTAATTGCTCTTGAAACATTGCCATCTTTCTGATCAGGAGCACTCAGTTCCATTCTGTACCTCTTGATATGTGAATTGTATGCAAAGGAAGTACAATAGCCACACCAGAAACTTCCTGTAGAGTATATTACTTGTCAAAATGCTGTATTAACAATGAGGTGCAAGATGCTGTCTTTAATTCCTTTTTGAGTGTGTTCCAAACAGATATTTATCTTAAGACAACCATCCCTTAAATTATTTTTTTTTTTTTTTTTTTTTTTTTTTTTAAGGATCTTAGTAGCCTACAGCCATTGAAGACCGCCTGCAAACAGGTGTTCCAGAAACAATAGCCACACTAATGAAGGCAGAAATTAAGATATGGATTCTGACGGGGGACAAACAAGAAACAGCTCTCAATATAGGTACCCATCTTTCTGATTACTCTGAATTTGTCCGATATGTGTCAGGTTACATACTAGATCTGCTGTGTGGGGTTTTAAACAAAATCAGGCCTGATTTTTATGGAATGGTTGTTTGCTAGGAGACAGGCATGTGGTAGCCTTCACTTTGGAGAAAGGAGGGGTTTGTAGTGAAGTCTGCTCTGAGTGTCAGGCTATATTCAGCCTTTTTTTTTTTTTTTTTTTTTTAAAAAAAAGGGACACTTCTGCTCTTGGTTAAGAACAATTCTTGTTTGGAAGGAATATAGGTACCTGCATTTCGGAAAGTGGAGAGCTCAACCAGACTGTGATGTCTCATTTATACTGTATGTTATAGCAACATGTTTTGCAGCTCTTTCCATACTGGCTGCCTTTTCTAGACTCTAATAGTTTGGGATATAATGGGGAATACAGTAATGCAAAGCACGTAGCTTACAACTTCTTGCAAACCTTGTCTGTGAAAGTAGGTGGATGCTTGAATAACTGCTCCTGCTATCACCTCATGGCACATCGTTAGTCAAGTGTGTTGTGATTGTTAGTGGAAGTGTTGCTGCTACTGAGTGAATGGAGAGAGTTTAATATGCGTTTTATCAAGGCACAATATGGATATCCGTGTTTCAAACGTGTTGATGCATCTTAACTTAGATCTTAACTTAATGCTTTTTGTAATGTGAAAAAAAACCCCAAACCTGCCATGTTGTGTGCCTGAGTACTGATACAATAAAATGATAACCTACTTAAAACATAGGTCTTTATCTGACTACTTGTTCTTGCAGCATAAAACTGGAGAGGTTTTATAACTGTGAGTTTAGGTTCATTATTAGAAGTGGACCTGAAACATTAGATTTTCTTTTAGGCCATAAATGTATCTGGTAAAATCAGTCTGTATGCCCAGTTCTATTTGTAATTTGTCAAATATGAGGGCTCTCCTGTAAGGCTGGGCTGAACTGGAGGTGCACGTTGTAATTTCAGTCCTATAGCAAATAGATGTTGTGGTCTGTAGCACTTCTCCAGTTGTGCTAGTCTTGCATTGGGTATGCCACATGAGTAGGTCTAGTAAGTACTCAAAACTCAAATCTTTCAGCTTCATCACTGTGGATGCTTGCAAGGTGGGCAGCCTGGATAGCGATACCTTGTGCTGTCACAACATGCTGCCTACCAGTGCTTGAAATGCTGATTTGTGAGCTATATGCCTATGCTGCCATCATGCTGTAGCACTTCACACAACGCTAGTAGCCTCCTAGGAAAGGAACTATCCAGGTCTTAGCTGAGTAGTAAAGACTTTGTAAATGAACAGATCCTGATACAAGCACATACTCCCCTCCCCAGCCCCATGACATCGCATATTTCCTAAATACAGCTTCCTTGGCAATATAGTGCCATGATGCTGCTGTATCCTTTGTGATGATTTTTCTCCCTGCAACTGGTAAATCTGCCCAGAGGCAGAGTGGCACTTGGTGATCTGACACCTGACAGAACTGAGTGCCCCTTTCACCTTGTTTCTTAAGTCTAGAGCACTCTGCTTATCTGCACTGTTTCTAGTGTGCCCTTGTAAAGTGCCATCCACTAGTGCATTTGGA